GATTCAAATTGCCCCATGCCAGTCCATCTCATCTCTCCAATGCCTAATATGTCAATATTTATGCGTTCCATTTCTTTCTTAACAATTTCTAATTTTCCTTCATTCATGGCTCTCGCATTCCTTCCTCTAGACTTGAGAAAAAAAAAAGCTTTCCCCTTGAGCCAGCACTCTGAATTTCCTGATTTTTCTAATAGTTTGTGGTATTTTTGCTATAACATCACTAGATAACTGAGATATTATTTGTTTGAAAATGTGCATATGTATGTTGTTATTAGGTGCTGTTGAGTGGACTATGACTCAGCAATTCTTAGAACAGATTTGAACCTTGCCATCTTCACCATCTCTGATACACTTAAGCACCCTGTTACAGTCACTCTGTCAATCCATCTTGTAGAGAGTCTCCCTCTCTTTGACTCTCCACTTTACCCAGCATAATGTCTTTTTCGAAGGACAATATGCCCAAAGTCCGTGAAACAATGCTTCACCATCCTTGACTCTACAGAGCACTCTGGTTAAAACAGGAAAGAAAAAAAAAAGACCAAAATGGATGTCACTTGAGTCTTTAAAACTTGCTTTATAACAGAGTAGCTAAAATGAATGGAAGAAATGATTAAGTAGAAAATTTCAAAGGGTGGTTTGAAAAGGCAAAGTAAAGCAAAACTGTGAAACAAGGAAAGACCTGGCGTTAGAAAACCAGCAGGAAAGAACAGACACACCATTTCTCAAGCCAAAAGACTGAGGAAAAATGTCAAGGCTTGAGTTTCAGTGTGGGATGTTATGTGCTGTCGAGTCACTTGTGACTCATAGTGACCCTATGTATAGCGGCCCTGAACCCTGCTCTATTTTGAGCCAACCTCATTGTCTCTGACACACCCACCCCCATTACCCCAGTCACTGAGTCAATCCATCTCATCGAGGGTCTTCCTCTCTCAGACTGTCCCTCTACCTTTCCAGTCATGGTGTCCCTCTCCAAAATCTGCCACTCCTTGCAACATGCCCAAAGTATGTCAGACAAAGCTTCAAAATCCTTGCTTCTAAGGAACAGCTTGGTTTCACCTTCTACAGGATGAACCTGTTTGTTCTTTTAGCAGTCCATGGTATATTCAGTACCCTTCTCCAGCACCACAACTCAAAGGCATTAATTTGATCATTCTTAGTCATTGTCTCTGATGCATAGCAAGTAATTACGAAGACCATAGCCTGGATCAGGTGCACCTTAGTCTCTAGACTGATGCTTTTCACTACTCTGGAGAGGTACCTGACAGCAGATTTTCCCAAAGTGCTACATCTTTTTATTTATTGGCTGCTGATACCAAGAATGTTGCTTGTGGAGTCAAGTAAGCTGAAGCTTATAATAGTTTCAATCATTTCACTGTTCATCATGATGCTACCAGTTGGCCCAGTGGGTTTTATTCAGTTGTCAAATGATTTCTCTGAAGATAGAACAGGATAGGACAAAGTTCAGAGGCACTGTTTAGAGGCTCGCTATGAGCACCTAACAACAACCACTTGTAGAGCAAAGGAATTTACTCTTATTTTCCAATACTTGGATTATTTAGTCTGCTAATAAAATTAACAAAAGTATACATGCATGGTTTATCAACAGTCAGATGTGAAGCATACATGAATTCTCCTTAGAAACTATTTTTCTGAAGTAATAACTTCTTTCTTTCCTTACTCATTAATTCAACAAATATTGGAAGTTTATTAAGTACCAGCACTGTTCTAGGTTTTGGGGATACAGTAATAAACAAAAGGTACAAACATTTCTATTTTTATGGAACTTGCATCTTGGGATGAACTAATAAAAAATAAAACAGATTTTAGAGGGTAATAAGTGGAAAAGGTTCTGAAATTTTAAACTGGGTAATGAGAAATAGCAAATACAAGGGTAAGCAAAAGACCATCAATTACAAACTGATTTACAGACAAATCCTTTACAGGCCCAAACAAGCTCACACCTTAGACCTTGAAACTAGTTTTACAAAACTGGGGGTAAGGGAAGCTCTTGACTTGGTTAAATATTCGATATTCAATGTCATTGAATTTTTCTTTAGACCATAGATGTAACAGGTCTTATCCATTTAAACTTATGTACCACCTTTGTCACAGCCATATATATCTAAACTATAATAATATTATATAATAATATAATACACTATATTACAATTAATGTAGTGGTAAGAGTTTTATACACAACTCTTCTCCCCAAACCTGTACAGTAAACATACCATATTCTTTTGTTTTTCCTTCACCACATAAGTTAAAGTAGGAAATACTTCAGAAAGTCCTAATAGACAGGCTTATAGTATAGGGAATAAGCTGAATTTGGGGTTAGTTTAAGCATAGTATCCTTTAGGCAATTTTGTCTTTACAATGGAGTAATAAATTTCTCTGGAAAACAAAAACTTAAGCTGTTTATTTCACAATGTGAAACAAATATAGTTTCAGAATACAAACTCTGAACTGGTATTTTGCATATACTAGTATTTAAACATTCCTAAATTCAGTTTTGCTGAGGGACAAAAGGATGAACAGCACAGATTTGGGGAGAATAATCATAAAGATCAATGAAACAAGTGACTGGGCAAGGGCCTTACTAACATTCAGATGCTACATCGCTCAGGGATATGATATCATGGATTATGAAAAACTATTATGCTTGTCTAATTGAAATAAATTCTGTTAAGAATTTGCAAACCTGATATTCAGCTTTGCTTTTGGCAGTTGGGAGTTTAAATACTTCTAGAAGAGCCAGAAAATAGCTAGGATGGTAATTATGCTTTCAGAAAATCTTTTACTTAGAATTATCCTAAAGTTTATCTATATTGATAAATTCCTCTTTTAATAGGTAAAATACCTAGGAAGAAGTAAGGCTCTAGGGTACACAGATAATTTCAAACTTTGTTATTAAAAGAAACAAAACACAAGCCCCCTTGCTCATTAGAGCAGAAGTCATACTAGGTTTACCATTTGAAAAACAATGACTTATTAAACAATACAGAACAGTAGCACATAACAGTCTAGTTAGCATCAAAACACAATCCATGTATACACAGGGATTTAGCTGGTTAACTGAAGTTGTAACTTGAAATAAGACAATAAAATAATATAGTAGTGTAAAATTAAATGGAATGTCAATCTCTATGGACTGCTGTTTCCAGGGAAAGTAGTATGAAGATCACAGTTTGATTAGCTTCAAGAAGCATCAATAAACAGTCCATGTCACTTGCTTTAGTTTGTTTGGGCCTACTAATTGTTCCAAGACTTCTCTTGAATGATCTACAAAAGAAAACAGGACAATATATAATTGACAGTCATCTAAAATATTTAATGTTTCCTCATTTGTAAATAATAATTATTAACTATTATTAGAGTTCTCTTAAAAGAGCAATTCAGATAATATATAAAACCTAGTATACAAATGGATAAAGCACTTAATAGTAGCCTTCACCATTGTTCACTTTAGTGTACACATCATATATTAACACTTCAAAAACATTGCTTTAATTAAACAATCAGAGAATAATGGTATAACCATTAACCTGTGAATGAATCAAGGCTCTGGCAAGAGACAGATGACATCATTGATGACAGTGGGCAACTGAAGAGGGTTTAATGATGGGATTGTTTATAAAGGTGTGAGCAGAGTTAAAGAAAACTGGCAGGGATGGCAAAGCACTCTGGGAAGCTATGCCAGAAAAGGTTCAGAAGGAAACAGCTACTAGAATATGACGAGCTGATTTATATTTGAACATTTGCCCATGTTATACAATACACTGGTTGGTAGCGTAGTGGCAAGAAGCTGCACTACAATCCCAAAGACAAGTGGTTCAAATCTACCAGAAGCTCCGCAGAAAAAGAGTGGACAATCTCCCCCTGTGCCTTACCTGCCTCTGAAAACCTTCTGAAGGATCAGCTATGGGTCAATTACAACTCCTTGGTACAGAACAACAACATACAATACTATCATAACGCATGAGTTTGAGTAAATAATTATTATATTAATGCATTGTAATTCAGCAAGTCCCTATTATTGGATATTTTTGTTTCTCCACAAAGCAGTACAGTAGTGATTTGATAGTGATTTTCATTTTTTCTTTGCAAAGTCAATTTTATAATGTCTTTTTAAAAAAAGAATTAAACAAAAGTAGCAATAATATTCCACTTACAAAATTTCCTAAATAAAAAATTTGTTCCACATATATAATCTGTGTTGAATATACAAGCTCTCATCAACTAACTAACTTGGAGTTCACTTAGTAATTTCTAGGTTAACAGCTGACAAAAATATAGAAAAATGTGGGTCCAATATATGATTATTAAATGTGTTTTAAGCAAAACAACCCAACTATTTTTACCATGCAATCACCATTTTCACATGAAATATTTGGTGGGTATTTCACCACCAAAACGAGGAGGAATGTTAACCTCAGAGCAAAGGATCATCATTCCAGATGATAGAGTGGCATTAATAGGCTCAGGATTATTCAAACATATTGTACAGTTATTTATGAATTGACATCATATGCATCCAGCCTGCAAAACTGGTTGGACTGCTAAATAACATTTGTTTTGCCCTAGAATCCTACTTCACTTTCTCTAGTCAAGTAAAGTAGTTTAAACTGTCTTTTTACCAGGAGGGGAAATATATCTTTCCTAGATTATAATTTACCTCTTTGAAACTCTCTTCTCAATCATATGTAAACTGTTCCTTAAGCAGTCTGTTTATCAGGAGAGGTAATGTCTTTGAAACTGTTACTCTCAGTCATAAGTAAACTGCACCTTAAACTGTCTTTTTATCAGGAAGGGAAACCCATCTTTCCTGGATTAGCATTTATCTTTTGAAACAGTATTTTCTTAGTCATTTGTAAACTATATCACAAGTTGCCTGTTTATTAGTAACTGTATGTAAACTGTTTTCTTTAAATGTAAAATCTTGTAGCTTTGAACTAGCAAGGTTGTTGTGGTGGTGTTTAATGCCATCAAGTGGACTATACTCATAATGACCCTATGCACAGTAGCTATGAACCCTGTCCTATCCTGAGCCAATCTTACTGTCTCTAACACACCAGCCCCTATTGCCCCAGTCACTGTGTCAATCCATTTTGTACAGGGTCTTCCTCTCCTGCATTGTCCCTCCACCCTTCCAGCCTGATATTCTTCAAGGATTGGTCCCTCCTTATCCCATACCCAAAGTATGTGAGATAGAGCTTCAAAATCTTTGCCTCCAGAGAACAACTTTGTTTCACCTTTTCCAAGATAGACCTGTTTGTTTGCATGGTAGTCCATGTTCAACACTCTTCTCCAGCAGTAATATGTTAAGTAGACTAACACCTAACTCAAATATAAAAACCAATGACCACCCTTAGATGGGGAGGCAGTTTTGGAGAGGATTCTCTCTGCTCTCCCAGATCTCACTGAAATGCTTTGGATATTGCAATCCTTCTGTCTTACTGGCAACTGCCTATTGAAAGAAGCCCTTGTGTTCAACACCAAGAAAAAGGAATGGAAACAAAACATAGTGACATTTTGGCCTCAGGTTAGTAAAATTGTCACATCAGCTTTAGTTTTAGGATCCATATTTGAGTGCTACTGGTAGCTCTTAGGTGATAAGCACAAGGTGACAGTTTATGATGACTAGATCAACAGCAATAGCTTTATAGTCACAGAACAGCAAAATGCCATAGTTCTGGCTTAGTGGGTTTAAGTGACAAATATCTGTAAGAATATAATTTTCATATCTGAATACATAGATTCTGTTGTCATAGCCCAGCAAAGTCTGTGTCTTCTGGAATTCACAACATACAACATATAACAGTAAGCCATTTCTTAAGTTTTTTGCCTTGATTAGGGTGCCCTGATTTGAGGGTGTAAAAAACAAAAAGCAAAGTTCCTAATATTAAGTAACAGGAAGGCTGCAACTCCCCCCTCGTCAAAAGATCCAGAGAACCAGATATGGATGTGATAGCTTTAATTCAGTTTTACATGTTGTTGTTTATGTGCTGTTGAGTTGTCTGCAACTCTTAACAACCCCATGTACAACAGCTCTGCAGCCTGCCCTGCCCTGAGCCAGTCTCACTGATGTCAATATCCTTATGCCCCCAACGCCCCAGTCACTGTATCAATCCATCTCTTCTGAGGTCTTCCTCTCCTGTGCTGTCCCTCCACCGTTCTAAGCATTATATCTTTCTCTCCAAGGATCCATCCCTCTTGCCACATGCCCAAAGTATGGAGACTGAGCTTCAAAATCCTAGCCTCCAAGGAGAAACTTGGTCGACAAACTTAGATGAAAGATTTGTTATCTTTTACAAAACTGCCTCTATGATACCTAACAATGGCAAGATCCTCTCAGAAGAGCTGTGAGTGAACATTAACATTACTGGTAAGTATATTCATTTTCCCCTGGACACAAGAGCCTATTATTTGGTCCTAAAAGCCTTCTGAGGTCCCAACTCTTCTCACTATTTCTTAGTTGTTGTAATTGATGGAAAACCTCATAAGCAGTTCTTTACTTCACCTCTGCCTTGCATGTGGACTTCCGAGCTGTAAAATAACCCTGTGGTAGATGGAATTTGGTTCAGGACTTAAGAACAATAAATGACATAGTTGAGCCTCTACATCTTGTGGTTCCTAACCTTTAGACTATAATAGACAAAGTGCTAGTCAATAAGCCTTTTAAGAACTACCTTCCCTCTGTAACTTGATTTGTGCTACTATTAGAACCTCTACTTGGAATATTATTGCTTTTAATTTTTGACTCATGTACTTTCAACTTGTTAGTTAAATTTGTGTCTTCTAGGCTGCAACAGTTCCATGATGTATCTTCAAAGATATGAACATGTTTGGCTAAGCACAATTGATAACAGTGCATCTAAATTCCAAAATCAATCTCCACAATAGTCTACGTGTGCCAAAGGGGCCCTTTAGAGTAGTGAGAGAAGATTTTCACCCTGAAACCTACAGCATCCCTTTTCAGTAGGAAGTAGCTAAGAGAATATGCCATCCCCTTTTCCTTATGAATCAGGGTGAATTCTCTCTCTGGGAGGAGTGATAGGGAATGGCAAAGGACACACTGACAAAGGAGATTAATCAGAACTGGTTTTGACAAACACTGTGGCAATGGGACAATTAAAACAGACTTTCAAGGGAGAAATAAAAGAGAGGAACGAACTGAAGGGAGGCTAGAGAAAATAGTGCAACAATGAATGAATGGAAATCCAAAATCTCTGTAAATGTTCATTAAAATTAATAATATTAATTAAAGAAATTGTTTTATAGATAAGACTTTTTCTTACCTAACAGTGATTTGCTGAGAACACTGGGGTCTCAGCTTCTAAATACTTTTTATACACGAAAACATTCCTGTGACAAAACGTTTTTATTCCAGTGCTCCACTCCTAGAATTTTCATTTGTTTACAAGAGATATCACATATTCTATTGAACACAAACATTATTTCTTCAGTGTAAAATTTGAGTCACATCAGATGCTTCTAGAAGTCACATCTCAGAGTCAAACTCTTGGTTATAGCAATATAAAGTTTAATTTTAAATATTTTGCATAGTGCTAGAGATGAGAAAATGGTATAATCCAAATCCAAATAAAGCAATAATTCGGGTGTTTTCAGACAGACTCCTTCTTGGATAGTTACCAGGAACAGGAAGGGAGTGAAGGGTAAAATTTAGTAACTAGGTAACAGGCACGTACAAAGATGGGTGAAGGAAAGGGTAATACCCAAGAAAGGGATGAGCAACATAGTGTCACTAAAGGGAAGGAAGACACAGAGGGGTTTATAAGAATTAATGGAAACCAGAATTATAGGGGGAAGTGGGAAAAGTAAAATTATATTTTTGGTACTGAAATTAATCTTATTGGCAAGATGTGTATGAATGAAAAATTAATTTGCTTTGTAAACCTTCACTTATAATAAAAAGGAAATGAAAAAAATAATTTGAGTGTTTTTATAAAAAGTTACCTGGCTACTTTGCCACATTAACTGCGAGAATGAAGACCATTATCAGCAACCAGACTGTCGACATTCCAGAGAATGTCAACATTACTCTGAAGGGCTGCACAGTTATCGTGAAAGGCCCGTGGGGAACCTTGCAGAGGGACTTCAATCACATCAATGTAGAGCTCAGTCTCCTCGGAAAGAAAAAGAAGAGGCTTCGTGTTGACAAAGGGTGGGGAAACAGGAAGGAACTGGCTACTGTTCGCACCATCTGTAGCCATGTACAGAACATGATCAAGGTGTTACACTGGGCTTTTCTTACAAGATAA